TTCCTACATTCATGGTTCTCACATTCCATGTCCCAATCACCAGTGTCTGCTTACAACTGTTCCTCTTCCTTTGTATTTCCATACTTGAAAACTCACCCTCCTTTGCTGTTTCTGTTATCTAAATGTGTTACGTATTAAATATTGTGATTACTTTGTGGTTCTTATTTTTAAAAGAAAAGCTGTTTAAATTATTTTTTTTTACTTTCTCCAAGGCATATTTATTTGTTCTTATACAATACAGTACTCGTCTCCAACACCCAACTCAAAGGTATCAATAATTTTTCTGTCTTCTTTAGTGATTATTCAACTTTCTGATACACAGTGTTTTAAAAGACCATGGCTTGGATCAGGTGCAGTTTAGTCTTTAAAATACTATTGTTTTTCTTTTTTTTAAAAAAGCAACTAATGACTTTTATCTTAAAATTTGCAAAGTTCCATATTTACTTGCTTGGCAGTTTTTTATTATGGTAAATATAAATATAATAAAATTATTGATATTATAACAATTTTATATGTACAGTTTAGTGACATTAATAATGTTCATTGTGTTAATCAATCTTCATTACTATTTATCTCCAGATTTTCTATCAAAATAAACAGAAGTTCCATGCCTTCTAAACAATGATTCCCCTTGGCTTCCACATTTTTAAAAAAATTTCCATTCATTCATTGTTGCACATTTTCCTCCCTATCCACTCCTCCCCCTCCCAGTTCACTTTGAGAAGAAAAAAAATTCTTTCATTGTTATACAATCCCCCCCGCCCCCGCTGAAGTCCACTTTACTATGAAGTTCTTATTTTGGATTCTTGCCATGCAAATAATAACTAATCATATATTCCTTTTAAACAGTTCTCTTCCTCATCTATTTCAATGCAGTGTACATTATTTATCCCCTCTTTCCTTAGTTTCCCCCTAAACCCAATGTCAGTCCTGTTTTATAACAGTGGCATTATGCAGTATTTGTTCTTTTGTGATTTAGATATTTCATGCAGGGTCACCCATTTTGTATAATTCATGAGTTCCTTGTTTTTCAGTTCTGTGCAGTATTCCATTGTGTGAATATACCACAGTTTTTCTATCCATTCATTTGTTGATAGGCACTTGGGTTATTTCTCTTTGCCATTGTGAACAAAGCAGAAATAAACTTGGGTGCGCATATATCCGCTTGGGTGGCAGTTTTGGTTTCTTTAGGATATGTTCCCAGAAGTGGGATTGCTAGGTTAAATGGTATTTCTATTTGCAACTTTTTA